GAAGTCTTATACAAGAAAAGTCATGATCAAGTCTTGTTAAGATGTATGGATGTAGAAGAGGCAAATATGATCTTGGAAGAAGTGCATGATGAAGTATGTGGAACTCATGCAAATGGGCATACGATGGTAAGACAAGTCATGAGAAGGAGATACTTTTGGTATACATTAGAGAGTAACTTCATCAACTATGCCAGACGATGTCTTAAGTTCCAGACCTATGGAGATAAAATAAATGCCCCGCCTCATCCTCTTCATGTAATGACAGCTCCATGACCTTTTTCTATGTGGGTCATGGATGTTATCGGACAAATCTATCCAAAAGCTTCAAACGATCATCGATTTATCCTGGTGGCAATCGACTACTTTACCAAATGGGTGGAAGCTGCATCATATGCTAATGTCACTCAGTCCACTATTTGTAAATTCTTGAAAAATAAGATCATATGTTAGTATAGTTTATCAGAAATGATCATTACCAATAATGCAATCAATTTAAACAACAGAACGATGGATGCTGCATGTCAACAATTCAATATAAAGCATTACAACTCTATTTCTTACCGACCAAAGATGAATGGAGCGATAGAGGTAGCAAACAAGAATATCAAAAAGATAGTGGAGAAAATTACTGATACGTACAAAGACTGGCACGAGAAGTTACCTTTCGCCTTGTTTGCTTATTGAACTTTGGTGCGGACTTCGACTGAGGCAACCCCATTTTCATTAGCTTATGGGATGGAGGTTATGTTGCCCATTGAGGTGGAAATCCATCACTCTGAGTTTTGTTAGAAGTAAAGCTGGATGATGCGGAATGGGTGAAAACTCGATATGATCAATTGAATTTAATAGATGAAAAGAGGTTGAGAGCATTCACCATGGTCGGATATACCAAAAATGAATGATTTGAGCACACAACAAAAAGGTGTGCCTAAGAGTATTATATGAAAGAGATCTCGTGCTAAAAAAGATTTAGCCAATTTAAAAATACTTCAAAGAAAAATGGATGCAGAATTGGGAAAGACCTTATGTCATGAAAAAGGCATTCTCCGGAGGAGCGCTAATTTTGAACGAAATGGACGGGCCAGAACTACCCAACCCAGTTAACTTTGATGCAGTCAAAATATATTTCGCTTAGGGTGAAAACCTGAAAGGGCGCCCTAAATCCTAAAAAAGAGGAAATGTTTAGCGTGAAAACCCGAAAGAACACTCTAAATCGGAAAAAAAGACAAAAAAAAGAGAAAATATAAAATGTGGGTCCAAGATGAAAACCCACAAAGGGCATCTTGAAACCAAGGGAGGATCCAAGTTAAAAACCCGAAAGGGCAGCTTGGGTAATGATCCAAAATTCGTGCACGGGGAGATCTTGGATCAAGGCAATAAAGCATCACGACATCCAAGTCTTCGGAGATTTAATAATTTGGGAGAAACTTTGGACCCTTTCAAATATTGTCACAATCGTCGAAGTCCCCTTGACAAAAGCTACACTCAAAGTCGTCTAGCGGTGTGCCAGTTCAAAGGCGTCCACATTATCAAGATCTACGGCACCTACCTGTCTTTTTAAATGTCTTCTCTTTTCAGAATGTTTGCCATGTATTTAATTCCTTATAAATAAAAATGGTCATTTTTCTGAGAGAACCCAATTTCTTAGCATCTTGGATTGAATTTAAATAAGAATGATTTATTCACCTTGAAAAAGATAATTGCGTATTACTGCACAAAGATTTTCTAAAAAGTACAAGTGTTTGGAAGTTGATAGAGGTTCATGCACAATACTCGAAAGAATGACACGAATACTAGTTCAAAACTCACTAAGGATCAAGATTAGAAACAAAACTTCTTTCTGAAACAAAAATCCCAAAAAGAGTATCAGTTCAAAACCCGTTGAGGATAACAAAATCAAGAATCAATAATTAAAAAATAAAGATTGGTAAGAATCAAGAAATGTGTGAGAAATCAAGACTGATAGAAAGAGATTGAGATTTCTCTCTAAAACAAAAAAAATCCTAAAATAACGTATTTTGCATACGCATTTAGGGCATACATAAGGACATCACATATATAACATTGCACAAATGTGTATAATTTCGTAGATTTTTGTCAGAGTAAATTTCAACTTCACAATGAATGATATTGAACTCGAAGAATAATCAAGATTACAAACATTACAACTTATCCAAGTTGGATTCCAACTTCACAACGAATGATATCCGGCTCAGAAGAACATTCAATCGAGATTCAACTTCCCGACGAAAGAGTCACCCACGATTTTGACTTCACGACAAAAGATATCGTGCACAAGACACTTGAGATCGACTCAACTTCACAACGAAAGAGTCATCTACAATATATTTCAACTCAACGACGAAGAACTATTTCTCAACTAAGGTTCTATAGTCAAATTTGAACTTCACAACGAAGGACATTGGACTAAAAGAAGACCCAAGATCAACTACGATTTACCTTAACGGTGTGGAATTACTGCCTAACCCAGACATCGAGCTAGATTTCAACTTCACAGCGAAGTATAACATGATCAAAACATCCTAGATTGACTTGTCTTCACGACGAATTGGTCAACCACGATTTCAAATTCATGACAAAGGATACCGTGCTCAAAGACATCCCAAGATCGAGTCAACTTCACGACGAAGAGGTCATCCGTAATTCAACTCAACAACAGGGAGTCATTTTCTATTTGAGTTTTAAAGTCGAATTTCAACTCCGCGACGGAGGATGTTTGATAAGAGAGTCAATTAGAACATTAAGTCGAATGTCAATGAAAGATATCAAATTCACAATTCACCTTTGGAAACCTTTCATACTGAACGAAAATCTGTGTCATTTTATCTTTGCCTTATTCTCGTTGCACGACAATGGGCAAAGAGGGGCAGCTGTAGACACTCATTTTCGTTCGGGTTTCTGTTATATTATATTATATTATGTCATATTATATGGTATATATTATAATTATAGTATATATTATATATTATATAATATTTATATAGTATATAATATATTATATTATATAGTATATTATTATATATATATATATTATATATTATATATAGTATATATATTTATTATTTATAGTATTTTATATATTATAGTATATTATATATAATATTATATATATATTTTTATATTATAATATATATATATATATATTATATACTATTATAGTAAATAATATTATTTATATTATTATATATTTATTATATATACATTATATATATATATTTCTTATAATATTATAATATTTATATTATTTATTTATTATTTTAGGTCCAAAAAGGTTCAAGGTCTAAATTCAGGCCCAGTCAAGTCCAAATCGAGTTCAGAGTAAAGCCCAACTGAGAAGCAAGCCTGACCCAGCATACCCGGTGGAAGCCTAATAAAGCCTAAGCCCGTCTGCCAGACCCAGCAGGGGCTAGGGTTTCAAACTTAGCAAGGGCGCTGCACAAATGACGAGTGGAGGCCAAGTGCCAGCAAGGTTACTAACCGACCAAAATCCTCGATGCTTGAAACTGGAAAATTGCAAAATCGGAGCAAGAACTCGCATGAACTCATGCGGTCGGATTTCCACCGAAATAATAGGATGGAAATCTCATCCCTTTCGCGACTACAACAGCCAGATCCAAGGCTATAAAAGCATCCGACGAAGTTAAACAGGAAAAAAAATCCATCGAACAATCAAAGCAACCAAGCAGCACAACAAAAAACCACGACCATCGAAGGGAAGAATACCAAAAAGCAGTACACAACAAATATACGAAAACCCAAAAGAATAAACATTCGAAATCGAAAGCAAAAATAAACCTCAAATCTTTATTTCATCGAAGGACGTCGAGAACGTATAGAAGCTGAAAAGACATCATCGAAAAAGGTAAAAAACCGAGAGTTTTTCTTTTAGATCTATGTTGTTTAGGGTTGATTTTGGAAATTTAGGGGCTAGATTCGGTGTCAGGGTGTTGAGAGGAGTGTTCGGGGGTGGTTTTAGGTTTTTCTGCCACCGGTGGTGGTGCCTGGAGCAGCAGTCGACGGTGGACCAGGATGCAAAGACGTGGCCGACTTATGGCCGGTTGGGGGGAGGTTGAGAGAAAATTGAGAGAGTGGAGAGAGTATTTTTTTATGGCTATTTATAGGAGACATTTGTGTAATTAGTAAATTCTTAAATTATTTTCGTAATTTTGATGCGTAGTTCATTTTGGTCATTTGTTGTAATTTTGCCCTTGACTTTTGAACTAATTCAATTTAATCCATGTTTATATTTCTTACATTTTGCAAATTGACCCCTAACTTTTTATTTTTCCTTGCAGCCTGCATTTAGCATCAATTTGACTCCTAATTTTTAACTCTTTTCAATTTAATCCTCCTTAATATTTTTTTTTTAAATTTAATACCTTGATTTTTATTTTATTTTATTTTATCTTGTTTAACATTAATTTTGCTTTGTTTTTAGAAAATTTCAAATTGATCAAAGGTAAGTAATTCATATCGAATTTTTAAATTTTAATTTCAATTGTAATTTTTGCTATTAAGACAACCGATAAATCAAATTGGTACTGAAAGGGCAGTACAAGGGTGTTAATCCTTCATTGATTGTAATCGACTCCCGAATCCGACTAACTTCTGGAAAATCGTAGATTAGATAAATGGTAAGTTAAGGTGTTCGATCAACCTAATTTTAAATGATCGGTGGTGGCTCCAACACATCAATTTAAGTCAGAACCCGATTCTGTATCTACCCGAAAGACGGTTATGACACCTTATTTTATTTTAAAATCACTTTTCATTTTTATTTTTAAATTTCCTACAAAAATGCAACATGTGGTGTTCTCCTACACGTGTCTTCGGCATTGTTGCCACTTCGTTTTTCTATATATACAGTCTTCTCTCTCCCACCATAACTCACTTCACCAATAACCAATCCAAGTCCCTCTCAATTCCCATTCAAAGATCGAAACTTTACATTGCCAAATCACCACTCACCATTTCACTGCAAATAACCACTAATCAGCAGCACCAATGGCTTCCTCTCTGAATTTGGGTTCTATTCCTTCTTCCTCTATACATCTCCAATGGCCTTGTAGAAAGCCCAACATTGCCTGCTCTTTACAAACTCCCTCCATTCTTCATTTGCCTAAACAATCATCGCCTGATTACTCTGATCACACTTGTTCCACCGTGAATACTCAGCCCCAGCAATGGAATCCTTTTCAAAGAGCGGCGGCTATGGCTTTAGACGTGGTGGAGAATGCTTTGGTTTCTCACGAGCGTCACCATCCTCTTCCCAAAACAGCTGACCCCATTGTTCAAATATCTGGAAACTTTGCTCCTGTACCGGACCAACCGGTCAAGCGTAGGCTCCCTGTTACCGGAACAATCCCGGAATGCATAAAAGGAGTCTACGTTCGAAACGGAGCCAACCCGCTTCACGAACCCGTCGCCGGTCATCATTTCTTCGATGGGGATGGGATGGTTCATGCGGTTCAGTTAAAAAATGGTTCAGCTAGCTATGCTTGTAGGTTCACTGAGACCAACCGTTTCGTTCAAGAACTAGCTTTGGGGCGTCCGGTTTTCCCCAAGGCCATCGGTGAACTCCATGGCCACTCCGGAATAGCTAGACTGTTGCTTTTCTATGCTCGTGGCTTATTTGGTCTTGTTGATCCGAGCCATGGCACCGGCGTTGCAAACGCTGGACTTGTTTATTTCAATGGTCATCTCCTTGCCATGTCTGAAGATGATTTGCCTTACCATGTTCGTGTCACTAAATCAGGGGACTTGGAAACCGTTGGCCGATATGATTTTGATGGTCAGTTGAAATCTACAATGATTGCTCACCCTAAAGTTGATCCTCAAACGGGTGAATTGTTTACTCTTAGCTATGATGTTATCCAAAAGCCGTATCTTAAGTACTTTCGGTTCTCGCCGGACGGTAAGAAATCTCCCAACGTCGAAATTCCAGTTGACGGTCCAACAATGATCCACGATTTTGCCATCACCGAGAACTTTGTAGTGATCCCTGACCAGCAAGTGGTGTTCAAATTGCTTGAAATGATTCATGGTGGCTCACCGGTTGTTTATGACAAGAACAAGATGTCGAGGTTTGGGATATTGGCGAAGAATGCCACTGATGCTTCGGGGATCAAGTGGATTGAGGCACCTGATTGCTTTTGTTTCCATCTTTGGAATGCTTGGGAAGAGCCAGAAACTGATGAAGTTGTTGTAATTGGCTCTTGCTTGACACCCCCGGACTCCATTTTCAATGAATGTGATGAGAGTCTCAAGAGCGTTCTATCCGAAATCCGATTGAATTTGAGGACTGGCAAATCGACACGCCGCCCCATCATTTCGGATTCTGAACAAGTTAACTTGGAGGCAGGGATGGTTAACCGAAACTTGCTCGGAAGAAAAACCATGTTTGCATATTTAGCTCTTGCCGAGCCGTGGCCTAAAGTGTCAGGGTTTGCCAAAGTTGATCTCTCAACCGGACAAGTTAAAAAATACATCTATGGAGACCAAAGGTATGGCGGTGAGCCTTTGTTCTTTCCTCGAAACCCCAATTCCGAGAACGAAGATGACGGTTACATCCTGGCCTTTGTTCACGACGAGAAGACCTGGAAATCGGAACTGCAGATTGTGAATGCCATGAATTTACAGTTAGAAGCCAAAGTGAAGCTTCCATCTCGAGTTCCATATGGTTTTCACGGAACATTCATAAGCTCCAAGGACTTGGAGAAGCAGGCCTAATTCAACCTCAATAGCCTTGTTATCGTCAATTTTTCTAGATGATTTAACAGGTTAAAAGGAAGAGAGATTTACCATAGGGATGTTTGCATATACTCCCCGGAATCTCTAACCCTGTTTTTTTAGGGTAGTCCTTTGGTTTATTTCAATATGAAAGCCTTAAAGAGACCAGCTTGTAGCTTTTGTGTATAGGAAATATTGAAGCTCAGCTGATCCTTGTTTATTCTTTTACTTGTGTGCATAGATTACATGGAGTTATGTATACATTGTGTAATTTCACTGTAATTCTCTGTTTTGTTGTAAATATATATGCATTCCATATCTTTGCTACAATTACTTAATCTTTGATCTGCAAAAAGTGCATGGTTATTTTGTAAAGAACGTCCGTAGAATTTAGAACATTGAACAAACGAGAAAGCAGCACAGTTAAATGTTAAATCATTTTAAGGATTGGTTCAAAAAAGACAGATTTGGGATTGGACCCCTTTTTTAAGTCATCAAATCCGTTGACTGATAACCCTTTTGCCAGTTTTCGAGTTTTAACTGATCCGCTGCAAACCCTGAAGTTGATAGTTCCGACATCGTCTCGCTTTTTTCATTCATATTGGAAATAGACACGAGTATATGATCCTATATGGAAAGAACTCGGGAAAAGAAATTGAACATACTCGTGCAGGACACATATCTATAACCAAAATTTATTCTTAAATCGAGATAAAATTGGTGGAAACATATGATAGGTGGTGCAAGGTTCATCTGCTAACCAATCAGAGCTAGAAACATCATGGAGGGAAGAATTAAGCACCTAACGTATTGAACAATGAGTCAGATATTTCAAATGGAGAGCAAAAAGAGTGATTTGACTCAACTTGTCCATTCCTCTAAGTTGGAGAGACGGTGGCTCTTTTTCCCTGAAAGCAAGTCAACTTGCATAGCCATCTGATCTTGTTTTAGAGCTCGAATAATTCAGATACCTTAGTGAAAGTGGGTTTCCTACAGATAGTTTCAGAAATAAAAATATCATAACTAAACAGTCACACTAAGAAATATCAAAGATATTTTATTGATTAGAATTGTAGATGATAAGATGGAGTTGACGCGATAATATTTAGCACCTTGTAGCCATGCCATTTGCTGATGAAGACTCTTAACTTTTTCCGGAAATTCGATCCTTGGCTGAGTGAATGCAATGTTTAGCACCTTGTAGCCATGCCATTTGCTGATGAAGACTCGGAACTTTTCTCCAGAAACTCGATCCTTGGCCGAGTAAATGCAATGTTTGGTATTCATATTCGGCATAAAACTCAATTATTGGGGGGCAGTGTGTGGGGGTGCAGGGGGCATGGGGAGAGCTTTAAGCTTTTCTAGACATATTATTACTAGTGCTGCAATGGTTTGAGTGTTGTCCATACATCCATTACAAAGTTTTTCTTTTTCAATATGAAATGAAGTAATGTGATTCCTCTGTTGTTATTTTACTGTTTCGGTTTTCGTTTAGGTCGATATTCGCAGCTGATGTTTATCATAATCGACAATTGCACATTCATTATTGCGATAAACAGAACCAAGGCAGCTTCATATGAGGTTCTGTCCCATTTGGCTACTCTGCAAATAACAATCATAACTATCTTTTCTTTGCCTTTTCCTGATGAAGCTGTCTATATAGCAATGGTCTGCTCATAAAAGATAAATTCGTATGCTTCATCTTGAATTCATCCATTAATGCAATAACTGCGACAGCATCTAGCAGAAACTATGTCTTAGTTTAAAGAAAGAATATACGGTGAAGGCAGAAGTAGCCATGATCATCATTACAGAAGTTTTAACTCATTCAAACAGAAATATTATGCTTAAAGGAAAAAGGCGTGCAATGTGTTGAAGACATCATGATTGATTTATGCAATAATGTGTTGCAGATGTTGATACTTCGAGCAGTGCATTTATAGCCTAGGGTCGGGAAGACCGCTGAGTGTCCCAGTCAGTCACAAAGTGTTGACGGGTGATTTCTTCACGCAGCATCGAAAGCACTTTCCTCACACCAGTTTCACCCTCAGCAGCCAATGAGAACACCACCGGTCGTCCAATCTGGGATTAAGACCATTACAGAACAAGTGTCTACTCAGAACTTGTGCCATTTAGTATAACTCAGAGAACTATTTGTCTATGCTAAGCAGTACTTTCAACTACTGTGCCAAAATGCAATGCATGTCTAATGCCTTTCCTGTGCTAAGCAGTATAACACAGAACTTTTGTCTATGCTATGCAGTACTTTCAACTACTGTGCCAAAATGCAATGCATGTCTGATGCCTTTCCATGAGGCAGTCTTATACTTACAAATATACCAGAGGCTCCCAGTGCTAAAGCTTTGTTGTAATGCATGTCTAATGCCTTTCCATGAGGCAGTACTTGTTTATTCTTTTACTTGTGTGCATAGATTATATGGAGTTATGTATACATTGTGTAATTTCACTGTAATTCTTTGTTTTGTTGTAAATATATATGCATTCCATATCTTTGCTACAATTACTTAATCTTTGATCTCCTAAAAGTGCATGGTTATTTTGGAAAGAACATCAGTAGAATTTAGAACATTGAACAAACGAGAAAGCAGCACAGTTAAATGTTAAATCATTTTAAGGATTGGTTCAAAAAAGACAGATTTGGGATTGGACCCCTTTTTTAAGTCATCAAATCTGTTGACTGATAACCCTTTTGCCAGTTTTCGAGTTTTAACTGGTCCGCTGCAAACCCTGAAGTTGATAGTTCCGACATCGTCTCGCTTTTGTCATTCATATTGGAAATAGATACGAGTATATGATCCTATATGGAAAGAACTCGGGAAAAGAAATTGAACATACTCGTGCAGGACACATATCTATAACCAAAATTTATTCTTAAATCGAGATAAAATTGGTGGCAACATATGATAGGTGGTGCAAGGTTCATCTGCTAACCAATCAGAGCTAGAAACATCACGAGGGAAGAATTAAGCACCTCAAGTATTGAACAATGAGTCAGATATTTCAAATGGGGAGTAAAAAGAGTGATTTGACTCAACTTGTCCATTCCTCTAAGTTGGAGAGATGATGGGTCTTTTTCCCTGAAAGCAAGTCAACATACATAGCCAAATGATCTTGTTTTAGAGCTCGAATAATTCAGTTAACCTTAGTGAAAGTAGGTTTCCTACAGATAGTTTCAAAAATAAAAATATCATAACTCAACAGTCACACTTAGAAATATCAAAGATATTTTATTGATTATAATTGTAGATGATAAGATGGAGTTGACGCGATAATATTTAGCACCTTGTAGCCATGCCATTTGCTGATGAAGACTCGAACTTTTTCCGGAAACTCGATCCTTGGCTGAGTGAATGCGCAATGTTTAGCACCTTGTAGCCATGCCATTTGCTGATGAAGACTCGGAATTATTTTCCAGAAACTCGATCCTTGGCTGAGTAAATGCAATGTTTGGTATCCATTTTCGGCATAAACTCAATTATTGGGGGGCAGGGTGTGGGGAGAGCTTTAAGCTTTTCTAGACATATTATTACTAGTGCTGCAATGGTTTGAGTGTTGTCCATACATCCATTACAAAGTTTTTCTTTTTCAATATGAAATGAAGTAATGTGATTCCACTGTTGTTATTTTACTGTTTCGGTTTTCGTTTAGGTCAATATTCGCAGCTGATGTTTATCATAATCGACAATTGCACATTCATTATTGCGATAAACAGAACCAAGGCAGCTTCATAAGAGGTTCTGTCCCATTTGGCTACTCTGCAAATAACAATCATAACTATCATTTCTTTGCCTTATCCTGATGAAGCTGTCTATATAGCAATAGTCTGCTCATAAAAGATAATTTCGTACGCTTCATCTTGAATTCATCCATTAATGCAATAACTGCGACAGCATCAAGCAGAAACTATGTCTTAGTTTAAAGAAAGAATATACGGTGAAGGCAGAAGTAGCCATGATCATCATTACAGAAGTTTTAACTCATTCAAACAGAAATATTATGCTTAAAGGAAAAAGGCGTGCAATGTGTTGAAGACATCATGATTGATTTATTGAATAATGTGTTGCGATGTTGATACTTCGAGCAGTGCATTTATAGCCTAGGGTCGGGAAGACCGCTGAGTGTCCCAGTCAGTCACAATGTGTTGACGGGTGATTTCTTTGAGGGAACGACAACCACTCAGCGCCATGGTTAGTTCAAAATCTTCACGCAGCATCGAAAGCACTTTCCTCACACCAGTTTCTCCCTCAGCAGCCAATGAGAACACCACTGGTCGTCCAATCTGGGATTAAGACCATTACAGAACAAGTCTCTACTCAGAACTTGTGCCATTTAGTATAACACAGAGAACTATTTGTCTATGCTAAGCAGTACTTTCAACTACTGTGCCAAAATGCAATGCATGTCTGATGCCTTTCCATGAGGCAGTCTTATACTTACAAATATACCAAAGGTTCCCAGTGCTAAAGCTTTGTTGTAATGCATGTCTAATGCCTTTCCATGAGGCAGTACTTGTTTATTCTTTTACTTGTGTGCATAGATTACATGGAGTTATGTATACATTGTGTAATTTCACTGTAATTCTCTGTTTTGTTGTAAATATATATGCATTCCATATCTTTGCTACAATTACTTAATCTTTGATCTCCTAAAAGTGCATGGTTATTTTGGAAAAAACATCAGTAGAATTTAGAACATTGAACAAATGAGAAAGCAGCACAGTTAAATGTTAAATCAATTTAAGGAATGGTTCAAAAAAGACAGATTTGGGATTGGACCCCTTTTTTAAGTCATCAAATCTGTTAACTGATAACCCTTTTTCCAGTTTTCGAGTTTTAACTGATCCGCTGCAAACCCTGAAGTTGATAGTTCCGACATCGTCTCGTGTTTGTCATTCATATTGGAAATAGATACGAGTATATGATCCTATATGGAAAGAACTCGGGAAAAGAAATTGAACATACTCGTGCAGGACACATATCTATAACCAAAATTTATTCTTAAATCGAGATAAAATTGGTGGCAACATATGATAGGCGGTGCAAGGTTCATCTGCTAACCAATCAGAGCTAGAAACATCATGGAGGGAAGAATTAAGCACCTAAAGTATTGAACAATGAGTCAGATATTTCAAATGGGGAGCAAAAAGAGTGATTTGACTCATCTTGTCCATTCCTCTAAGTTGGAGAGATGATGGCTCTTTTTCCCTGAAAGCAAGTCAACTTACATAGCCAAATGATCTTGTTTTAGAGCTCGAATAATTCAAATAACCTTAGTGAAAGT